AATCACCCAGGTTGTAGTCTATGGAAGAAGCACCAGACTTTTCTGTCACCTTCTCATTCAACAGTTGTTGTTTGCATAATTTTCCAGCTCACACTAAATAAGCAGGGATCAGAAGCACAAGAGCAAACTGAAGAGAGCGGAATATCCACCTGGCCTTCAGAGAAGCCCTAGGCTCAGCTGAGGAACTTATGCCCATATAAACAGGGAAGGAAACATAAACCCAAGTTCCTGAGGGCTTTAAAGGTCAAAGCCCACATTCTGAATTGGGTCTGGAGCCAGACTGAGCGCCAAAGCAAGATGGCGATGCAATGGCATGATAGCATCGCATTGGCTCACCCTGTCTGCAGTCTAGTCACTTCATTTTGGACTAACTGATGTTTGTGGACTGTGTCCAAAGACAGTACCATGTGAAATGCAGTGTAATAATTCCAGAAAAAGGTTACTGGTGTCTGCAAGGCTTCCCTCTGTACTGGAGCGATTTCAAGGCAGTGCTATTCTCAAACCAGATGCAGCCCCCTCTGTTCAGGATGCCACTCCGTATTTCAGCGTTAAAGGATACATCAGAAGAAATATTTTAAAAGATAATATACGAGAAATCAGTGATGGTGAAAATGACACTGGTGTGTCCCTTCCACCGACACTATAATTTCTCGTAAGAAACTTGTTTCGCAGCTCTCAGCCTTTCCATCAGCCAGCCACTAAATGCAATCCCTCCTAGAATGAGAGGAAAGGAGCTGAAATAAAACAAAATCCACTGTGTCTCTGTACTATTACAGTAAAAAATGGAATCACTTAGGCAACCGTCCCCCTGGAAAAAAGGCAGGCGAGCAAATTATGCACATATTCAAAAGCTGCACGGAGCTGCCAATGAACTACCAATAAAGCAGATTAATGCCCTTGGTACTAGGGGGGAGGCACACTTGTGGGGAGGGGGGTATTGGCTGATCTCCAATCCAGGCTAAATGACTTCCTTACAGGAAAAAAAGAGAGGGAGCCCGGTGGAACAGCTCAGCAAAGAATGAGATTGACATCTGTAATGATACTGTGAAACATCTTCTAAACGACATGGGGGAACCTTTCATGGGGAATCGGATCCCTCATTACCAAGGTGAGGCGAGAAGCATCCGTCCTTGTTGATGGCTCGGAAACACTGTCTTTCTTTGCCAGGTCCTTGGAAGGTGCTCTCTCCTTGTGCCCTTGTTATCCCACCTCCAGGAATCTTGCCTTGGCAAACCGAAACATGAAGAGCTGCTCCTTCAGTGTGGCATCAAATCACAGCATCGTGGCTGATGGCAAAAGCACGATGAGCCATTTAGCAGAGCCAGCAGGGCTGGGAGGTTTTTTAATGACACCCAAGGAAGCAGCATCGGTTTGACTTATTTCTCAGCACTGAGGGTGCTCATTGAGCTCCATAAACGGAGGGGATTAAACAATATGGGGCTTGGAAATTAGGAAATAGGCATTGTCCATGCCAAATGAACTGATATCCTGATGACCCCAAAACAGCGCTGATGGAGGCTGGCAGAAAAGCGTCTAAGTCAGGGTCTTCTAGCTACTTGCAGTGTTGGAGTGGTCTCTGGTAGGGCAATTCCACAGTTCTTCAAGGACAAGCTAGAATATAGCAGGGACCTGCTTGGCTTTCCACGTTGGCTCTGGGAAGTTCGATGGTCCATGCTGGAAAATGGGGAGACATTTCCAAGCTGGGAGGGAGGTGCTAGGGAAGAAGTTCCTTGATCCGTTCAGAAGTCAATGGGTGAAGCAAGTGGAAACAAAAAGTCTCTGTTCCCACCACCTAGTCCTCAAGCTACAAGAGCTACCCAGATGCTGCAGTCAAAAGCTTTTCAGAAAGAGAGGACAAGTTTCAACAGTCTAGGAGAATGCTCCTCCGATTTCTACGCTTTTGTAAAGTCCTTTAATAAAAGGACAGCGCTTCTCCAGTCTTATCTGAGTCTGCTGGAGAAGGAAAGAGGGAGGTTGAGATCAGCTCAGGACACCATTACACTGACCTCAATGCCATCTGCTCTGTTTCTGGGTCAACATTAATACAAATCCAGTCTGTGCATTAATGTGCCCATTCTTTCTCCTCCTATATCCTAACCTCTAAGGGACAGATGCATCAAGGGCCCTTCAGCCACAGTTCCCAGCCCAGTCCACCTGCGTCTGCCCTTTTCATGAGTAGCAGCAGCACGGCAGAGCAGAATAGACAAATCCTTCTGTCTCCTTTCCATGGGGAAAATGAGGGCAGCAATGGGGAGAACAGAGAGGGCAACGTCAGGAGATCTAGGTGGAGTCAAGAACCAAGCAAGGTGAGGTCCGAGTGACTTGGATGCAAGCCTTAATAAACTGTGTGTGCTGAGGAATAGAGTGGAGAGAGATTAACGGATCATTTCCCTATTCTAAAGATATTTAAAATATGTATGTTAATGGAGTGGCTTAAACCTGGCTATTTTTTGGCAAAGTATGGTAGAATTGCACTATGGACCAGAGCGCATAATGTGGTCTATATTATGGTAAAATCTAAAGCTCAAATCTTTAAATTTGTAGAACTAGCTGCCTGGAGAGGTGGGGGGCTCTCCCGCACAAGAGACATTCAAAAGGAGACCGGGCAGCATCTGAGTGGGGTGGTGTGACTTGGTGTCCTGCAACAGCAGGGGGCTGGACTGGATGGCCTCCATGGCCCCTTCCAGCTCTGCTATTCTATGATTCCATGATTCTATAAAATAGCAGGAGCTGATCTGTCAACAGGGAGAAACCAGTTTATGGTTATAACACCTTCAGCGGGATCTTAAACCTTTTGGCTATTGGATACTTTGGATCTTGCTGAGCTGCACTCTTGGGAGGGGTGCTATCCCTCCCTTAGAAGACATTCTAGAAGCCCATTTAGATCCCCTCTTATTTATTTATTTATTTGATGTATACCCTGCTTTTTTTCTTATGAACTCAATGTGACTCCTCCTGCTCGGAGTCTTATCCTCACAACCACCACCCTGTGAGGTAGGTTGGGCTGAGAGACTGTGACTAGACCAAAGTAACTCATCAAGCTTCATGGAGAAGAGGGGACTAGAACCCGGATCGCCTCAGTCCCAGCCCTGTGCTCTTAACCACTACATCCCATTGGCTCTCAGTGTGAAATGTTGATTTATCTTGTCAGTTGCCCTTGTCTTTCTTACTCCACTTTCGTTCTGCTGACAACTGAAACATACACGGCAATTGACAAGGCAAGACTGCATATGCCGGACAGCTCTCTCTGTTCCCTTGTACACTTGCAAAAGACCAGGGGAAATTAAACATGAATAAATATATGCAGGCTCATTTGTGCAAAAGACACCCAAGGCTGGAATTCAACCATTTGGAGATGACGGAGGAAGGAAGGCAAGCTTTCTCTCGCAGTCTCGCATAGCCTTTTTCCCCACCACTCCATTACACAGTAATAAAGGCGTCCAGCCTAGCAAAGGAAAATGTAGGAAAAGAAAGGCAGTTTCCTCCAAGGTGAGTCCCAGGAAAACACCGCAACACCACCGCAACTTGTTGAGGGTCCCCACTTACCTCCCAGGAAGGCCAGAAGGTACCGCTACGAATAAAAAAAAAGAGCGCCAGCCGCTTCCAGGCAAAGCCCGGCATTATATTTCACTCAGAACTCCATGAGCATCCCTGCCCATTTGCTAGCACGCCTTTCAGATGACATTGGAAGGCCGAAACTTGCCGGCTTCTTGAGCCCCGGAGGCAAATGCCTCTTAATTCAGAGAAGATGAGAGGCTGGCAGCAAAAGGCTGGCTGCCTCCGGGCTGATTGGCACACTACATTTTTCAAATTGAGGGTGATTCCTGTGAGAGACGGATTCAGCGAATGACTCAGCCAAGCAGCTCCTGAGTCCAGAGACACACGTTCCTGAACCAGGTCTGCTGTGTTTTGGGCGAGGGAATGCTAAGCGAGTTGACAAGTTAGTTTTCTTCAGCGGATGACTGGATGGTAGAACAGACACCATGAATGCAGAAGGCCCTCTAGTTCAACCCTCAGCAGCCCCACTTCACAAATAATAATAAAGGATCAGCCAGCAACAGGAAATGGGAGAGAATTTGGATGGTGGAGTGAGAGCAGGCAATGCTGTTCTTAGGGACCCAGAGGGATGGATTGCTACCGGAAGACCTTCTATGCACCCAACAGAGCTGGCATGCATTAAAGCAGGGAACGCATGGAAACACGCTTTGTACATTCTGTTTTCTTAATTCGCCAATAGGCCTGTAGCATGGGCCCCGGGGGAGAACAGCAGAGGTGAATGATATGGCACAAAGCCCATCTCGTTCTTAGATTTGAACAGCATCTGGGCCCGGGGACATTGTGACTTTATGATTAGCCCTGGACTTCGGCCAGGGAAACAGGGGATAAAACCCAGAACTCCAAAGCACAAAGCTGCGTGGATAACCAGTTCGGACCAGTTTCTCAACCTGACCGATCTTGCAGTTCTAATGCATGTGTAGGGGGTGGGGGAGAGCAAGAGAGGGAAGGCACACGTGCCGTGCCGTGCCATCCTGATCTTCCCCAGGGGATGGGAAAACAGGCATACATAAATGCAGGTGCTTAAATTGGCTAAATCACGAATAATTGATTTGATCGGATCCAAAGGCAGAGCTATGAATTGTTTTCCTAAATAGCAAGGTGTCATGTTCTGGAGCAGAACCCAAGGAAGAGGCTTGGCTCTTCCCACCATTGACGTTCTTGTCCTCATCATTGGCATGACCTCCTCTCCTCCCTTCTCTCTGTTCCTTGGCATGCTTTCTACCAAACGCTTGATCCGGCCTTTACAGGAAGAAGAATATGAGGACAGGTGGATCAAGAATAAAACTGTCTTTCTGCCCCGCCCTCCCCAAGGGGGCCTATGATGCTCCTGGGAAACTTGAGAACAATCGGACAAGGGTTGGATGGTGGTGGGAACACCTGCAGAGTCTACATCCCTAGAGAACCGGGCTTGTCCCGCAGAGCCACGAGGTGGAGGTTCTTACCGTCTGCAATGAAGTGCTCGGGAACATGGAGCGTCACCTTCACAGTAAGCGGGCAGGAGAGCTGAGTGCCGCACACCATGGCCAGGACGCAGGAGCTCACGGCAATGAGCGTAAGGGCTGTTTTGTTCACGGGACTCTTTAGAGAACCTGGAAGGTTATTGGAGTGGGAGGGGAGGACAACACAGATGGACAATTAAAAGGTTGCTCACATCTCCACAACTGTAATGGGGTACGCAAAGGAAATTAATTGGGTGACCTCCTTAGCCATCCACAGGACACCCATCATGGATCCATATGCAAAACGGACACTTCTCTGAGGTGGGTTGGAATCTGGATACAGCTCAGAGAAGAACTAACTCTTCCCCACAGGATATTTAGGTTATAAGAAGCTCCCATTGGAAGGCATGGTTTTGTTAGTCCCTGCAGAAGGGTGCCTGAAAGCCACACTCTGGAAGAGGAGCTTCTTTTGAATGATCCATGGACATGCACCCTCAAGGGAAGATCTAATTTGAGCATAAAATATATAGGGAGCCTGGGAAATCCACTCAACAACCTAACTGCAAAAATCCTGCCATTTTAGGTCCATGGCTCAGGTCTTCATGGTCCTCTAGGGCAGGGGAAGGAAATTACCTTCATAGCTAACCAGGCAGTTTCCCCTCCCCAATCTTTGTGAAGGCAACTTACATTCATCTACTGAAGTTTAAGAACCAGATTCTAGTCAAATTCTGACTTGCCATTTATTTCACCCTTTTTTAAAATAGACCTCACTTCTGTAACAGAGCTGTTCCCAAGCTATGTCCTTCAGAAGTCCTGGATTGCAACTCCAATCATTCCCACTCATCATGGCTGCCCTAATATTGGCATCCCACCATATTCCAAACATTTCGAAGCTGGGGAAGCTCCTCAGAACTGTGATCCGTCACCAATCCTTGTCATAAAGCTATGGGTTTCTTTTCATTCCAAGGAGAAACACCCTTTCTATCACAATCCACAGTCATGCTGCAGTGATCTCAAAGTTAAGACCCAACTTTCATCTGTGCAGGAACATTTCTGGGCAAAACATTGAGAATTTTAGGACAGCATGAACCTTTAGCACACGCAGCCTCAGCATTGAGGCAGAAAAACCCTGTTTGTTAGCTATGAAAACCTTTCCATCTCTCAAAGTTCTGGCCCCTTGGCAAGCATGGCTGAAATATTTTTTGACAGCATAAAGACAAGCTTTGTGCAAGCGAAATCTGATCTCCAGCCCCAGAACTGGAGAGGTCACAAAGAAACTCTTCTCCCTCTCTCTTTCAGCAGACCATCTGTCAAATACTGTGCATGCCAATGTTCTGACACCTAAGTAATAATTCAAAGCCAGCAGTACCTTTGAGCCTACACAGAGTCAACATGTGTAACTCTTCTGCAAAGCACTACACTGCATCTGGTCCACCATCCGGACAGAAATTGAGGATCCAGTAGAGACTGTTAATGAAGTCAGCTCAATGAGAAAGGTGTATGATGTTGCCTTAGCAAAGAAAATCCAGAGCAACACATCCACACACCCACAGATCAGGGCAGCCCCCTTGGCATTGTCTGCCTTTGAACTAAGAAGGGCAGAAACATTCTCTTCGCAAAGAGAAAAGAGGTGGAAACGAGCAGGAAAATGTCAAAGCCGCGGGAGTGATAAATCCTCGTTTACTGTAATAATTGGCTCAATTCCGCTTGTAGAGCAACTTGTGGTCAGAACAGAAAAAAGACCGCACAGGTTGGGAAGTTAAGGAGAAATATATGGACCGAAATCACAGAGGTAGCTCTTCCAGGGAGCTAAGGGTTTTGAAAGGAGAAAAACTGAGCTGGCAGGCTGACTGCTATAGGATTTGCAGAACAGTAGGAGAGTTCCCTCCAGCCCATATAAAGCCTCAGAAGCTCAGAATAGAGGTGCAGCCCCTCATCCACCCCTCCGAAACCAAAATCAAAATGTACTGATACCCCTTCCTAATAGAGGCAAAGAACCACCACCAGAAAATTCCCAAACTACTTCACTTCCCCAGGGTGCGAAGCACCACAAATGAAAGCTTTGGTCTCTGCTTGTTAGCAGGATGTAAGTTAAGCGATAAAGCATCGGCAAAAGATCAAAGCAGGCATCATCAAATTCCCTTTTGATTTTATAAATGTTTAAACTAATTTCTAATTCCAAATGGCTGAGGACCAGACTACCTGCACAAATCCCTTTGCTCAGGCTGACACTTGAAGAATGGATCTTAAGCCTTCCCACCCAGCTTCTCCTGTACATCCTGCCCATGTACGAGTTGCGTTCGGCACGTGTGGAAGCGGGGCGACTCACCTCTAGATTCTCGAAACCTCTCTGTTTAGATAAACTGTTGGATTGATTTATGCAGCCAACATTTTCCCTGCTTTTCTGTTTTGTTTTAGCTCTCCCCATTATCTATCTATAATTTTGTGCTTTTGCTTTTGACTTCTATTTCTTCTATCGAGTTTTGCACTTCCAAATGTTGTTAGTCTGAAGTATGATTCATGAGAAGGGAGGGTATGCATACAATAAACTCGCTTTGGTACCCAAGTGAAATTACAGTTGATGGAAGCAAACATTACAGAAAATTGCTAGCAAACCCAATGCATATTAGGGGGAAATGCATACATATTTTCATATGGGAAGCATCTGCAAACTGATGCAGAAGTAAGAGCACACTGAATGCCTGCTTGGAAAAAAGCATGAATATTTTAGAAACTAAAACAGATATTTGTCGGTCCCTAGGAAGCTACTTTTCTTTCTGAACACTGATCTTGTTTTTCCCAGATATCAACTCTCCTTAGCCAGTTATTGCCTTCTATGACATGCACTTAAATTCCTCCCTCTTGTGTGATAATGGATCAGGTATTTCATCCCCCGTGACGTGAACAAGGGATTGCCGACAGCATTAAAGTGGGGACTTTGCCGGGCGGGGCAGCATATAGACCAACCCATCGTGACCTCCCCTTATTCTTCGGCCATTTGTCCTATTCGGCATAGGCGTTCTATAAATGCCGGGGAAGCCAGCAAGGGGGTCTTTCAACCTCACACGAGCAGCACTGGGAAAACCCGAAGGGCAGTGGTACCCACTCCACTAGTGTCCCCTTTAGAAGACACCCCAACACACCACATTTCCACACACAGGCTTGGACAATGGGTGCATACAATCCAGCACTGGACACAGTTCCACAGGGACTCCTGTACCGACCTTCCAAGTCCTGGTACCCCCAAATCCTCTGAAATAGGAACCCTGGGACAGTCTACTATGCAAAGAACATATTCTGTCACTCAACAGTCTCCTTCCTGATATGCCCTCCCACCCCTTAGGATCTGAAATGGAGGCCCTGCTCCGGGAACCCTCCTTGAAGGATGTCAGGAGAGTGAATACTCGGAGGAGGGCCTTCTCTGTGGTGGCACCCGACTGTGGAATATGCTCCCCAGAGAGATTTGCCTGGCGCCGACACTATATTCTTTTCGGTGCCAGGCAAAAAAACCCCTTTTTTATTTGCTCAGTATTTTAATATATAAATACTTTAACTTGGTTTTAACATCGTTATGCTCAGCTATGCTTTGTTATGCTTATTATGTTGTATTCTGTCATACTTTTGTGTTGCTTGGTTATTTGTGGTTTGTAAGCCATCCTGGGACGTTTTGTAAAGGGTGGGATATAAATACTGTCAAAAATAATGATAAAAAAATAAACAGTGTCCCCTGGACTCTTGCCCCCCTGGATAAAGGGCTGCCACAGGGCCAGTATACAGAAATCTGCCCACGCTCTGTCAGCAAAGCTCTCCGCCATTTTCAGCCCTCGTACTTTCTCTGCAGATCAAACTCTGCAGCATAATCACTGTGCACATCGCAATTAAACGCCCACAAGAGATAGATGGCTGAACGTGAAAACTTCCAAACACCAGAGAAATTTATGCTTTATGACCCAACACTAACCAAACAAGCTGCAACAGAATCTAAGGGTTTCAGTATTTATTTTAAGGACATGAAACTAATGCCAATTCTCCCCTGCCCCAGAAGCTTGCCGAAAGTGGGCAACTAATACTGGGAACCAGTGCTACTCCAGTTGATGATGGCTGGGGTGAATAACAAGGCTGTGCTTGGGGGAGGCATGCCCCCACACATCTGGGTCTACCAGAGAAACATCTGGCCAGTGGTTTGGCAGCCCAGCACAATTTAAATGCAGGGAAAGACTTCATACCTTAAGGGCATGTTTGTGTAAGGAAGAAGCAGCTGAATTTCAGCTGGGTTTTGAGTTGCAGAAGCCACGCCGAGGAGGACTGGTGGAGAGAATCCTTGAAGGAGGGGGAGACTCAGAGGGTTGGAAGGAGGCCCTGAAGTGCAGTGCTCTTGTTTTAAAGAACAGAAGGAAGACCAAGGATAAAGCATCAACAGACAAACAGTTGCTTTTAGGGAAGGAATGATATCCAAACATCATGTGTCAGATGATCACATTAGCAGCCTCTTAATTAGCCTGGAAGGAGGGTTGTATTCAGAAATGAAACTCAACATGGCGGCCTATAACCCTCTGCATGAAAGCAGTGGTGCCCCATAGAGCTTCTCCCCGACCTTCCCTTTTATGCCACTTCACACAGGCACCAATTAAGAGTTGCCTCAGACTCGTTGAGGGCACAGAGACTGCTAGGAAAAAGTTTCCTGGGAAGTGGCCTACTCCTCTGAAGATTTCGAATCCTTGCGTGGGAGGCACAGGAGCAGAACTGTGAGAAGGGAGAAGTCAAGGGGATGCTAAGAAACAGACCGGGATGCTTCCCGCTCGTTTGCTCCATCTCCCAGCTTGAAAGTGGCAGAGTCACACCTCTGTAAACGCCTGCTTAGACACAGACCGTCCCAAACAGATTTATGACGGACTTAATAGCATGAGTTCTTAGCAATATCATCCTAAATCAATTTGATAAATACACTGTTGGGAAATCAGCCAACCCAAACATAATGAACTTTAATTACCCAATTTTTAATCAGCTCAAATATTGTTAACTGGAGCCAGATGTAGGTGCTAAAATGACTAGAAATTAGGCCTTTCCCTTCTCTCTGAGAAGGCACAGTGCCACTCGCTACAGCGTGGTGAATTCCACCTCCGGAAAAGGGTGGAAATGAAAATGTCAGG